CGCGGTTTCCCCATTGTCCGAATACAAGCTAAACTATCGGCTATCAGTCCTCCAACTATTGCTTATTCAACAGCCATCGAACAAGACTGAATAAAATTTTAATCGGCCAGGCTTCACCGGTCCATAACTTCGGTTGGACTTGGCGCGAACTTTCAATTTAATCCTGCGGTTTGGACCATGAGTCGAAATAAAAGTTGTACTTTCAATGCTCGCTTTTGGGGTTTTGCTTTACGGCTTTGTGAAGTAAATCAGAACTGGCTAAAGCTAAAGTGAACAGCAGGCAAGAAACAAACTTTGTGTAGTATCGGTTTTCAAGGCAAGAAGAAAGAACGATTGGATTCGAATTGATTCCGTAGGGCAACACCTGAAGCAAACAACAGAATAACCGTTTGCCTGCGGATCGGCATGAATGAATAAAAATATTTGTTGAAAGAAAATCTTCGTAAATAAATTAAAATTGTATTTATGGCGTAGCGAAACAATGCGAGTTGAATGTACCGACACCCTTATAATAGGTGAACATTTTCCTTAAGCAATCTTCAAGAAGTATTGTATGTAAAGTAGCGCTCCATGTCCGTACGACTAAACAATAACTAGAAATGGTGTAAACCAAAAAGCAATCTGGTGGTTTTTCCTGAATCGCATAACATTTTTCTAAGCGCGATTAAGGTTTGAGTGGCAAAATTCCCTATTTAAATTGGGAATAAAACGTTGCGTATTTACTTACACGTTTTGGCTTCGCAAAATTTTGAAAAATACGAACATTTATTTACTCTACATGGTGATTTAAAAACATCATCATTAAGCTGTACGGGTTGTAAAAGCGTGTGAATACAGTTCCTAAGTGTTCGTTTAGCTTCGACATTGTCAAATAATTTATTGGCAAAATGAATGTTATTGATGAAGGAGCAGACTGATCACTTTTTTCTGTTTAAAACACGTCAATATTTTATATACGCACTCACCGACAATAAAATCGCACCAATAAAAAAATAAGAACTAAAAGTTCGAAAAAAGTTCCGTTCTATTTTGTTTTGTTCGATTTTATTGTGTAATTTGTGTAACCAGTTATAGCAATTTTTGTGTCTAGAGGGTGTTTCCTTAACCATGCGGAAAAAAATTGGAGTTAAGGTTTTTCAAGATAATGTTTTGATGCCCTATTTTTGCAACACTCAGTTCACACCCTGGCTGAACTTGCTCAGGATTTTTTGTTCTAAATTTTAAAGTTTGACTTTAAAGTTCGCACAGATCAATTTCCTATTGATTGGCATTCTAAAAAAATTTCATACACAGCGCTGACTACGTCCATCTTCACTTAATGCCACAGTTTTGCTTAGGTTTTCCATACTTACTACCATATCGAAAGGGGAGTTTATATGTGTTTAAAAATTGCAATCATTTACTTGAACCTGTATATTTTCCGCAAAAAATTAGATGTCGAGACGACTAAAAAAATGAATTCATGTGTATAAACAACAAACAAAAAACCTTGAGCAATTTACCACCCACTCGATAAAGCGTTGCAAACGTAGGAAACCAAACAAAATATGGAAAAACATTATCTTGAAAAACCTTTATTTTTTTCCTGAAGTTCCTACATACACTCCAAACTACAATGGATGTAATTTGCCATAAATGGCCTACATACTCATTAAAATCGGTTACCACCTACAGAATTTTTTTATCGTCAGCGAGTGTATTCGTCTCTTTGGACGTTTATTAGTAATTTATCCCAGAACTAATCTTAGGTAAAAAAACGTAGGAATTACTTTTAAGACAAATTTCAACTAAAAACCTATCCAATTTTCGTTCATATTTTAGATAACAAAAAGTATTTGAAATTATAAAATAAGCAGAGACTTACTTATGGGGCATTCAATTACAAAAAAATGCAAATGAATAGAATTCATCGAAATGCCAATTTTGTCAACCATATTGATTTCAGACGAATCAACATTTGGTGTGGAGTTATTGGAAGGCACATAATAGGACCATAGTTTATAAATGGAAATTTGAGTTATTTACGATATTTGCTACTTTTACGAGAATCCATTGTTCCAGAGCTGAGACGATTCCTGAAAAATGGATCGGCCGCAGGACAATTGAACGGCCAACTCGGGATCCCGATTTGACCCCACTTGAATGTTCTAATGCGCACACTTTGAACACTTTAAAAACTAAAATTGCAATTTAATCCCGGGAAATAATAAAATTATTGTTTCTAAATTCTGTATCTTTTCCGTTCACCATTACTGTTCGTGCAAAACGTAAGATTCGAAATCTAACAATTTAGCTAATTACAGCAAAAATCAATATGTCGAGAAGAATTCACTAATTTTTTACTAACATGTAAGGTGTCTGTATAATTCTGTGTTTTCGATGTTCGGTTTTGTGGATTAATACGCTCTTTTCACTTTCATTAATATATTGTAGTTTGATTTTACGTTGTACAACATTTTTGATCTCCACATGTCCATCTTTTTCGGTGTTGTTCTCCCTCCTCTCCTTTCCGCGCGGTTGCCAGCTCCATTTCAATATAGTGGACTGTATATTTATTAAAGTATTGAAAGTTCCCTAAACTTGACAGTGTCCTATTTAAGAAAAATCAACTTTGCCTTGGCGTAGCTTTTTGACTGATCCTGTATACTTACTGATTTTTTGACTACTACCTATAAACTATTTTTTTAATTAATTCCGATAGTATATTTTCCTTTTCGATGTTCCAGCTATTCGATTAATGGTACCTAATTTTTGTAATAAATATCTGCTTTTTAACACGTTAATTTTTATGTATTTTGCTTGTTTTGTCGCACAATTTTAACTGTAGGACATAATTTTGCACAACACTTTTACTGTGGCTGTTTGTGTCGTTTATGGACGTCATTTTAGGACGACATATTGTTGTGAAAATCACGTTACTTTGACGTACTGTGTCTGGTCGTTAATACATAGATAGTCTGACGAGTAATCAACTTCAACAATCAACAAAATAATGCCTAAATGCACTTTCAAGGGCGAATATTTTCGACAAATTTTTCAATTTGTCACCCGGTACAGTTTTAAAGGAGCATTTGAACAACCTTTAAGTGCCAGATATCGAGTAGAATTTTCGTTTGGTCTAAAAACGTCTTTATTGCAACTTTCTCAATTTTAGTCAGGGTTCTTTCAATGGTTAATTGAAAGCCAAATACAGTTGAGACCGGATATAACGAACTTGAAAAATGAACTAAAACTGGTTCGTTATATCCGGAGTTCGCGTGTATTTTATTTCGTTATTTTTACATAGATTAGTAGAAGTTAGTCGGTATAACTAAAAAGAACACAAACAGATAAACAGAACACAATTTGAAATCTACTTCACAAAGTCTGTAATTTTTGTTTGTACATTTCTGCTGCAAAAATTGATGTTATTTATGTAGTTTTCAAGATCACAAAATAACTCTCAGATATGATTAGGAACTTGGCGTGATTGCAGAAAATTCCTAGTTTCTGACACTTTTTTGTCATTTCAGAAATGGTTGGAACAGCATTAGTATCTACAGTAGAATCAGTTTCACCTAAATCGTCATCTTCCTCATTATCGCTGAAAGCTGTAGATGAGGTTACTGAGTCTATAATTTGCTCATCGGTCAACATTTCTCTTGTAAGAATGCCATTATCAATGCTCACATGTTCGACGAAATTGAAATCACGCAATTTGGTTTCAACTTGTTATTCGACAAAATTGGGCCCATCTTCATCTGAGTCATACTCGTAGTCAGAGTCTTTATCCTCTTCTAACCATTCATTAAGTGGAATTTCATAGTCTGGTTCATAATCATTGTCTTTTCTTACAAATCCACCCTGCTTAAAGAAATTGCAATGGTTTTTCGGCTAACTTTGCCAAGCTCTATGAATAAAATTGACTGCATCTAAGAGATTTATAGAAAATGTTTAATTTTTATCGATCGCCTCTAACATTTTCATAAGAAGAGTTTTCCTATAATGACTTTAGGGAATGTATTACTCCTTGATTCATATGTTGGAGCTTCGCACTTGTGTTCTACTGATATTATGTCTCTTCTTGAAACGCTCTACCCAACTTCTAGAAGAAACAAACTCTTTGTTTTTGATTTTACTCCCCATTTCACTAGCCTTTTCTTGCAAAACACTGCCACTTATGGGAACGTTTTCTTGTCTTTTTTGAGTGAACCACTTAATAAGTCCCTTGTCAACCTCTTCATGTGCAGATAATTTTAACTTCTAACATCTAACATTGGCTTTGTCATACGCTGATAAAATGTTTTCTCTGTTTTTCCATATTGTTGCAACAGTAGACTTCCCAAGTGCTAATTCCTTACAAATGCCAGTCTGCTTTACTCCATTTTTTATTTTGTCAATAATCTCGTACATTTCATTTAGTGAAAAAGCTTTGGATTTTTGTTTTTCCATTCTAAAACGATTTACAAACATAACGCGGCAAAAAACAACAAGTCACTGCCTGTTTCTCGCTCTCACTAATATAACAACTCCGCAGGATTGGTGTTGCTGAGCGTGGAAGTTCATTATAAACGGAAAGTGAATATACAACTAACCTAAAAAGTGATCGTTATATCCGGAAGTTCGTTATAACCAGTAAAAAAATGCGTTGGCCTTTATGGACGACGTTTCAGTTAAAGGAGAAAAGTTTGTTTTAACCGAAAGTTCACTATAACCGGGTTCATTATAAGCGGACTTTACTGTAGTTTTATGAGCAGGAAAAACCATTTCATTTGTTTATGAGGTATATCGACAAGTTCAATGTTGAATTGGGATTAAGTAGGTATCTCAAATTTATTCTATGTATGTTTGTATTGATATCTCGAGCTCAGATAGAATAGTTAATCTTAATAGTTACTTAATCCAAGGGAAAATAGTTTTGATACGGCAAATTCATCTACGCCCGTTATCTCGTGAGCAAACTGGTGTTAAAGTCACACCTTTTGCATGTTCAAACGTAAAACAATCAGATAAACACTCACCTGCTGAAGTAATCTGAACCAGGGTCAGCACTGCAACCATATGAATGATCAAAATGCAGGATTTCCTCCATGGCTCCCGTTCAGTTTCCTCCATGATCCTCGTTGATATTCCGCGTTTGCACAACACCATTCCGTAGATCGCACTTCAGCCGTTGCAATTCCACATTTTCTCCAAGAAAAAAGTCACTTTAAATCACAAAATCCATGACCGCTCGCACAACACCGCACGCCGATACTGAAAGTTTCAAAACTTTATCGGGGACACCTGTGGATGCAGTCGCATGCTCTTTAACTGTTTTCGTCGCTTTCAAATCACCAAAATGAACAGCATAAAGCGACCGTCAGCATAGACACACAGTAAGAAACAGGGTAGTTTGGATTTGATTCGAAAAAATCAAATTATTTTTATGTTTACGAACGGGTTTGAACGGCGTCCTACGCGCTCACCAGTCGCGTAACATCAAGTTTATTCGGTGAACGGTGAAGTGCATGCTTTTGCTTATCCTCTTGAAAGTTTCCCGCGCATGCTTTCCAGGTACGAAGGCGAATGACCAACAGATATTTGGGACCTCTGGCGGACAGGTATATGTACTAATTGTCAATCAGCAAAACGTGCCACGCACGTGGTTTCTAACAAGCGCAGGGGCGGACCGGCTGGGGATGTTTTAATCTAGGCGTAAAAGGAACGTTGTATAATACAGGGTTATTGATATTGATTGAATTTTGTGATTATATTATATGAAAAAAATTCCTGGATCGTCCATAAATTAAGCCAAAAACACAGAAAGTTTGAGGAAAATCACCATTTTCAGGATAAATTTCGCACAGAACAAATTTCAATATTAGTTTACATTTGGAAGGACACCGTGTAGAAGATAACATAGAGATGTGTTACGGTAATCATAGTATGTTAAAATGTAAGCACCGATTTATTAATAAATTGCTTAATATCGGTATTAAAATTATTTGAAAAAATGGTGTGCGTCACGGTACACTCGACAGAAGTGATAACTTCATAAATTAATAGAAACCATAAAATATTGAACTTGTTTAACGCATGACGGCAATAATAATTTTAATGTTCTTGTTAGTCTAATGATTGGTAAATGGATCAGAAATAGGCAAAATTTAATTTAATTTCCTTTTGAATGTAAAATGTCTTTTCTATTTGCAACATTTAACATTATTTAACGAGATGTTATACATATTGCTCTTCCTGGGTTTGTGTAAACTCTTCTTCTTGAGTTTCTGTATTTTTTTGTCGTAATTTCTTATTTGCTTTGTATAATCTTTGACGTTCAGCACTTAGTTCGTGGTTAATGAAAGCTACTTTGAGTTGATCGATTACTTAATGCTCCTTTTTTAGCACGAAACCGTTTTTGGGGTTCAGCATTACTTAATACTTTTCGCATTATACCATGTTTTTGTGACTGCTCTTGTGTATGTTGTTCATGAACGTCTGCTAGAACTTGTATCTGAATAGAACTAAAAAAATCAATTAATGTTGGTGATTGGAAGACGTTCTATCTGTTTAAAAAAGACGGTAAAACGAGGAAGAGCTATAGAGACAGGAGACACTTGTAAGTTGTGACACTTGTGACTAATGTAAGCCATCGCGCGTATGTTCAAAAAAAAATTATAACTGAACTAATCCAAGGCTAAAAAAATGAAACTAAATTGAGAAGATTTAATCATAAAGGAATCAAAAGGTATACGAAGGAAAAAAATCCATTTTAATGCGTGGTAAACACAATTAATCATAGAAATAATATAGAGAATTGAAATTCTGAAATGATAGAAAATAAGAAGACGGAACCCAAGTTTTCTGAAATAATCGAGGTAAACTCAAATATTTTTTCAATTAAATTCAAAACATATTTATTATATATTATTGTATATACTTTCCTGACTGTGTTTCAATTCCAAATCAAAATTAATTCTTGGGTTTCAGTCATTTATTGTCTTTATTTATCAATTAAAATACGTTTCGGTGTATTTTTCCACCATCATCAGTTTTTCTAAAATAACATAGTTAAAAAAAATCCATTTTGGACACAAAGCGAATAAAATATTGTTTATATTGATTTCTTTTACTTTCAACTATTTTTCTTTGAATTCTGAGAATATTACCGAAACCAAAAATAATATTCTCAGAATTCAAAGAAAAATACCTGAAAGTAAAAGAAATCAATATAAACAATATTTTATTCGCTTTGTGTCCAAAATGGA